AATCATCATGGTTTCCAAGGCCAGCAGCCCATGGTTGCGAGCATGGCAACGCGGCCGTGCCTGTGCAAGGAAATGCGTGCGAGTGCTCTTGCAAGAAGGTTCAACAGTGACAGGCGACCTTCTGCGACACTCCCCACCCAGAGACAACTGCCGCGACTGCCACCACCAGCACCACTCGCAGCACCACTAGCACGACCAAGACGGCTTGGAAAAAAAACTGATACCATCATTGCCACTACCGCTGGAATCCCGTGCGAATGCTGTCTCGGAACTGTTGCTGAGCGTCGAGGCAGTGCCCAGGGTTGGGAGGCTTTCGCTTAAGGGCTTGAGTTTTCCGACGGTGGCTGGACGGTCCGAACTCAAATTTAGCACAGCTGCTTGATCTCAACGGCGCGGCGTCGCTTGAAGTTCTCGGCGCTGCCGTCCTGTCAACAGGCTTTTTCACGCGAGCATGCATTCAAAACATACATAATCCGCTTGTCCGATCACGGGAAGTCGACTGGGGTCGCTGATTCAGTTCAACTTAAGACCCACATGCCAGGGGAACAGTGGCAAGTCAAACTCCGAGAACCTCAACTTCATGCCTGCCGCACTGGCGCTGCCCAAGCCAACGTGCGACGACCACTGCGACCACCCCGACCACGACGACAACGACGACATCGACAACGATGGCGATGACGCGGATGGATGCTGGTGACGGTGATAAGGACGACGACGATGAGGCGAAGGAGGAGATGTCTAGCAAGACTACTAGCGTGCGATCTTTATTCGTTTGCATATGTTTGCATCGAAAGGATCAGGTGCTACCATTGCGGCCCCACAGCAGCACGAGAAAAAGCGGCCAACTAGGTGCGCAGCAGCTTTCACTGGAAGTTGTTGCAATGTAGTTCCCATCATTAGGCCTGCAGGAACCGACTTCAAAAAGGAGCTTACCGCAAGCAGACGCAAACCTGATGTATAAAATAAGTTACGACAATCGCCGCACCTGCAGGCCCCGACCCCACCGCGAACTAAGATGTCCTTGGTGAATCCGACTGGATCCCAAAATCCGAGGGGTGGCTGAGCACCCAGCTCCTGGCGCAGGCTCTAGAATTGGGCTTCTTAAACCGAATTAGCGTGTCCTGTGTGAAAGGTCGAGCTTCAAAGAATAGCAAAAGGGTTCGGCGCCCTCTAGAGCCACAGTATCATCAAGCCCAACCGCCCCTCTATTTCTTTCTGAACCTCTTTGTCCTATTGGGCCGCCCCAGCTTAGCTTGCGAATGGGTTCGGCGCAGACCTTGAACAACCCTAAAGACCACAATGGGAGAGGTGTCTAAGCCATCAGGGCCCGTCTGACCTTCTTGGTACTGAGTCTTTCGCATCGGGGTGTGTCATGATCATGAACCATGATGATCACCATGAGGATCTTTGCTATAGTCATCTTCATGGTTGCTCTTGTTCTCTCTACGGTTACTTCCTGACCCTCGAAAGAACCTAAGGGCGGGTCCTGCTCGAATGCACGCAGCGGCGACGCCTGGGCATGGGGACGCACCCCCTGAACCGGAATGATGCAGCTCGGATGGCAACAACCATGCAACTGTCTCTGTGTGATAGTGCGCATGCTGGGGATACCGAGCTTGCAGCATTGTGAAAATCCCAGCCCAAGCATTCTGAGCAAAATCCAGAAGACTATCCCAACACCACGCTTGAAATTCTGCAGATTCAGATTCGGAGTCTTCGGCTTCGGATGAAAGTCTTATGGAACTTGAACCCTTCCGAATTCCCATCAACCTGTCAGATTCCGGAGTGCACTGGTCTTGCGGCTGACTCGGGGCTGCAAGATGTTGTGCGGTTTGGGGTTTGGAGCTGATGATGCGGAGTGTCTCGCTTCAGGTGCTGGGTGTGTCACACCCTGTGGCCGCTTTGCCCTCCTTGAAGCAATTGGGCCAGGGTGCTGTGTAGTTCGCCCAGTCGCCCCATGCCGAGCCGGTCAAGCCGTCCTGGAAAAACCTGGGCTGCTACTGCTGCTTGCCATGGTCATCGTGACCGTGGCGATGACGATGATGACGGCATACGGCGACCA